CTGCTGCTTGGGAGCAAAATACCTGTAACTGTACCTCAGAGGTGAGCTTCTACCCATAGACTGACACAGAGTTGTGAGGCATCAAAGCCATCTCTTGTTTTATTAGTATTTTGAGAAAGGGTCTTATTGTGTACTCCTAGACTACCTAGAAGTCACTATGTAGACCAGGCTGGCCTCTGCCTCCCAAACGCTGGAATTAAAAACGTGTGCTGTCACCACTACTTCTGGCTAATTAAAATTAATTTATTTTTATTTTGTGTGTACATGTATCATGGTGAAGAGAACAACTTACAAGAGTCAGTTCTCTTCCACCATGTGGGTTCTGGGAATCAAGCTCAAGCCTTTTAGTGTTGGTAGCAAGTGTCCTTATCCACTGAGCCATCTTTCCTGCCTCCAGTAAAGCCATATTTAATGATCCTAGAGACCTCTGGTGACACACAGCATTTAATATACAGCCATTTCCTATCCTCCTTCAATCACAAAGATGCCAAATTCAGATATGTTTCACAGCCAGTAGGAGAACTTCTGGAGAGGCTACCTGCTGACAGGGAGCACTCCCAGCTCTCTTACAGGCCAGATTCACCTGCTTCCTTTCATGGTGAGTGAACTGAGTCCTAAGGTAGTGCCAACAGTCCTTACACAGTCCCTCTCATTGCCTTTAAAAATTTGTATTTTGTGTATATGGGTGTTTTGTCTTCACGTATGTCTGTGCACCTCATACATGCCTGGTTCCCTAGGAGGCCCTGAACTAGAATTACAGATGAGATTGTAAGCTGTCATACAACTCAGATTTTAACAGTTTATTTTGAAAATAAAGTAATAGGCAATTTAAAAACTAATAGACAGAGGGTCTAGACCCTACTCCAAATGACTTGACAGATTTTGATGATCCCTCTTGGAAGGCAATCCATGCAGTGAGGGGGGAATGGGATGGGAGAGGAGTCGGGGGGCATGGGAGGGACAGGGAACTGGGATTGATAATCTAAAATAAGAAAAAAAAATAGACAATTTTGAGAAGTATAATGAGTATAATGATACTCATTAAGTATGTTCATTAAAAGATGTAATGATTAAATGAGATCAGGGTAGAGGAAGGTATTTTCTTCTGCAAGTCCAGAAATGAGTTCTGCTGTCCTGCAGGTTCTTTGACTTCCTGAGTAGGGAGAAGAATCATGGCAATTAAAGCTACCTTGTAATCATGTAAATCTACAATGGCAGCCAAATGCTGGAAACTTGATGGAATTTGGTGGGCTTTCCTTTGCAAGCACAGCAAGTCCCTGTAATAAAATAGCTATACCTGTCTGATCCACATAGGCACAGGTTAGCAATGACTGTGGATCCATTTCCTGTTTTGATAACCTTTTTGCATTAACCTCATTTTTTACTGTTCTGTCATCAATGTGAGGCTTTACAGTGGACCCCACAAACCAGTCCACTCCAGTGCTGTCTGATCCTGGGAGCCCAGCAGCTACACCACTGACTTTTGTTTGCTTGCTTGCTTTTTCCTTTTGTTTTGAGACAGGGTCTCTCTACATAGCTGTGATAGTTTGAATGTAATTGGCCCCCATAATCTCATAGGAAGTGGCACTATTAGAGGTACAGCTTTGTTGAAGGCCTTTTTTGGAGGAAGTAGGCCACTGTGGGGGTGGGCTTTGAGGATCCCTATGCTCAGAATACTGCCCATTGAGTCAGTTGACTTCATATTGCCTGCAAGATTTAGGACTATTCCAATACCACATCTGCCTACAGGCTGCCATGCTCCCATCATGATGATAATAGACTGAACCTCTGAAACTGTAAACAAACCACCCTAATTAAATGTTTTCCTTATAAGAGTTGCTATGGACATGGTGTCACTTTACAGCAATAAAACCCTTAACTAAGGCAATGGCCCTGACTGGCCTGGGACTCTGTATAAACCAGGCTGTCCTGGAACTTACAGAGATCCTTCTGCACCTGCCCCAGGAGTGCTGAGATTAAAGGTGTGTGCTACCATACCTGACTATTTTTTCTAATTGCATTTTTAGTTATTTATTATATACTTATGTGGGGGTTGGGGTGGTGCAGGCACCATGGCATGCAGGTGTAGATCAGAGGACATCTTTTGGGAATTGGTTCTCTCCCTTCACTGTATGTATCACAAGAATGGAACTCGGGTTGTTAAGCTGGGTGGTAAGAGCCCTCACTTGTTGAACCAACTCTATAGCCCCTGATCTTTATGCCCCTGTTCTTCATTTCTGTAATTTTTCCATTAAAGAATTTTATGTAAGGACTAGAGAGATGGTTCAATGATTAAGAATGTTCACTATTCTTCCAGAGTACCTGGGTTCAATTCCCAGCTATCTTCATGGTGGTTCTCTACCATCTATAACTCCAGTTCCAGGGGATCAGATGCCCTCTTCTGGCCTCCACAGACACCAGGCATACATATAATACATAGACATACATGCAAGCAAAACATCTATACACATATAATAATAGTCTGGTGCATAGCTAATTGAGGCCAGTCTGAGGTAGAACCCTGTCTCAAACAACAGAAACAAAAGAATTGTACGTAAATGGAATCATGGCGTATTCAGACACTTTTTCTGACAGTGTAAATCCCTTGAAATTAATTCAGGTTTTTTGTGTAGTGATAGAGTAGTATTCTAGAGTAGTATTTTGTGTTGTACAAATGGATCCCAATTTTTATATGAACTTAGTACAATTCTCTTCAGTCATACAGTGAGTACAGACTTTTAACTTACTTTTTTTTTTTTAATTTGGAGGTGGGAGGTAGGACTAGTATATCACAGGCTGGCCTGGAGTTCTCTGTGTAGGCTTGCAAGACCCCCAAGAGACCCCAAGAGTTTGGAGCCTATCAGGGGGAAGGCCCTTGCCCCCAAGAGACGAGACCAGACCACTGGATGCAAGTGCAAGAGGTTATTTATTGTTTACACAGGTACTTGTGGACTCTTCAGTCTTTCGGGGGACTGAGCATGCCGAGGTTAAAACTCAGGCAGTTTATATAGGGTTGGGGTGGCAAGAAGCAGGCTTACAGAAGCAGAAGCATGGTTACAGGGATTTCATTGTCTCATCTAAATGTAGCAGTTGTAGTTAACCAAGAACAGTTGGTTATTCGGGTTGGGCACAAAGAATACAAAGAATTCAGTTATGACTATCTCAGCATACTGGACACTGTCCTGCTGACCTTGCTTTAGTCCAAGCTGCAGACCACAGATATCTGGTTGTCGTTGGATGAGAGCAGCACCTGGTTCCCTCCTGTACTTTTCTCATAACTTCACCTTGGCAATTAATGAGAGCAGCTCAAACAGGCAATAAGCATAGTGGGGGTCTTTCAGGCTGAGGGGGGCATTGAATTTCTAATCCTCCTGCTTCTTCCCACAGTGTTGGGTTTACAGATGAGGGCTTTTTTTTCTTTTCTTTTCTTTTTTTTTTTTTTTCTAACTTTTTATTGATTCCTTGTGGTTTTCACATCATGCATCTCCATCCCATTCATTTCTCCATTCCTCTGTATCAGGATCAGAGGGATGGATGGATGCTGGCGTGAGCCATCTCATATTCCTACTTATAGGCCTGGGTGTTTTCAGGGATGGTCAACCCACCAGCTCTTTCCCCATCTTCCCTACCAGGGTGAATTCTTCAGCTTCAGTGTTCTGGCCCCCTCTGCCCCCCCCCCCCAGTTTAGCCTATACAATAAGCAACAAGGTCCAGTTTTCCTGTTTTCATGACCTCAGGGTCTATTCACCCATACCTACCCTAACACACCCAGCTCTACTGTGTTGCCCAGGCAAGGTGCAGGGACAACTTCCCCAAGTGCTACAGCTGATGAGGGGCAGAGCTAGCAGAGTCTGCTGCAGGCAGGGAAATCTTCCACACTCACACTCAGATCTTGATCTCTGGTCAGCTCACCCATACCCCTGTTAACAGGGTCAGCTCTCCTTAGTGCTGCAGCTGTCAAACAGGCTGAGTCAGCTCACCCACCTGCCACAGGTGGGGAGGGTATCTTTCCCTTACCCATGCCATCATGTGGCAGACAAGGGGGGCAGAACCAGCTCTCACTCATGCCCTCAGGACCAGCTCACCTGCACCCCCTTACTCCCTAGCCATCCACCCCATGAACAGAGTCAGCTCTATTGTGCTGCCCAGGTGAGAGTGCAGGACCCACTCTCCTGAGTGCTACAGCCAGTAAAGGGTGGGGCCAACTCTGTGTAGCCCTGTCCTCTCAGCCTTCAGTGGTAACAGGAGCCAAAGACATAAACACACAAAGCCGCTACAGTAGGGCCTTGTACCCAGGCATGGGCCCAGGTGCAAACAGGCCACCCAACATCAGCCTGATCCTCACTGCCTTCATCTCTTCAGATCTGCCTGTCTTCATGGGATGTGAATTCTGTCTCTCTCCCATACCCCACAGGTCATATTTCCTCCTTGCTGCTCAGGGTGGGCAGGTACATGGGTCTTTTTATCCTGCTCAGTCTTAATATGGTACTGGGCTGGGTCCTGTCTTCTCCCCAGGTGTGTGCTTTTAGATGCTAGTTTAAAAAAAAAAAAAAAACTTTTATTATTGATTGAATCTATGTTACAATTTTCTTATCTATCAGAAAGGAAGGACTTGAGGTTGGGGAAGCTAAGAAGTTGGCTCAGTGGTTTAAGAGTGCATGTTGCTCTTGTAGAGAGCCTGGTTTAGCTCATAGCACCTACAAAGCTGCTTGTATTAGCTCTGCTTTCAGGGGATCTTCGGCTTTCTTCTGACTTTCCTAGGTACCAAGCATATGCAAGGCAAAATATTCATGCACATGAAATAATTTTTTTAAAGAAGACTTAGTTTTTCTAAATATTAGTCCTTGTTTTTTTTGTTTTTTTGGGGTTTTTTTTTTTGGTTTTTTTTTTTTTTTTTTTTGTTTTTGTTTTTGTTTTTTTTTTTTTTTTTTTTTTTTTTTTTGACCATTAGTTTTACTATTGTTGGAAACGTTGACATTGTCTTCCCTCTGTCCTTTCAGCGGCTGTGTGACTATGTTTGTGATCTACTCTTGGAAGAGTCAAATGTTCAGCCAGTGTCAACACCAGTAACAGTGTGTGGAGACATACATGGACAGGTAAATTTCACAAGAGTTTTAGGGTTTGGAGAGTCAGTGATCCATTTGTTTCTAATGTACTGCAAAATAAAATAAGATCCAGCTGGTGATTAGGTGTATTAGTCTTCATGCCATGCATGGCTGGCAAATAAAAGCAGTAAAATATTTCATGAACTTTGAATTCCATTTGTAGAGTGTATAGACTGCTGTGTTTTGTGGAACAGTGTAGGGTGTCCATGATGGTGGAAGATGTATTCATAGACACTCATAGAAATTATACTTAGCAGGGGATGGTTTTGTTTTAAGTGCTTTCCTTGTTCATTCATAATGACTTATTAGAATCTGCTCATTTCTTTAGTGAGAATGAGAATAGCAAAAGCTCAGAAAAGTAAATTACTGCAAGATTTTATAGAAAGTCACCAATAGAATGAGATGAAAAAGATTTAGTTTATTCTTTAAATTGGGACTACAGGACCTGGAATACCTACTGACTTTTTTTTTAATTTTATTATTTTTAAGTGTGTGTGTTGTATAAGATTCATGTGAGTGGAGGCACCCATAAAAGCCAGAGGAGTTGGATCTCCTGAAATGCAAGTGGTAGTGAGCTAACCTGATATGGGTGCCAGTAATTAAACACTGGTTCTCAGGAAGATCAGTTTGTGCTGATCTTCCTGAGCCATTTCTCTAGCTGGCTTTTGTTTGTTTATAAGACTTCCATAGCACTGACTAGAGGGCACACCTTAACATTAGACCCTACTGTTAGTTAGTGTTAGTGTTCCGTCTCTCTGTTAACTTTATCTGACTTTGTAGAAATTTGTCACTGGGAGTTAAAAGCTGAAAAGCTTGTTCATAGCCCACTGTGTACAGACAGTGTATTTGGAACTGTAGGACCTGGAATATGATGTGATCGCTCTACCATACTATTGACTGACTGCCTCCCTGAAGTTCCCTCCCTGAAGTGATGGTATATAGGAGCAGAAATGTATCTAAATTGGTCCTGAATAGATGCTGCTTCATAAATAACCATTTTGGCTACTTACAAAGCTTTTTGCTTTTTCAAGCATTTCCTGAATGTCATCTGTAAAGCCAGCTTCTAAATAGAAGCCTTATGATGTCATCTTTGTTCTGTTAGTAGACTGTAGAATAAACTTTAGAGAATGGATTTAAGTTTCCTTGTAACTCACCCCCCAATGTAATTAACATTTGTATTTTGTTACACAATGTTTGTTAATGTAAGCAATATCAGCATATTTTTCTATATTTTTTTTATTTCTTTTAAATGTTTTTATATTTTTCTTATCTTACATATTGATCCCAGTTCCCTCTCTCTCCCACCCTCCCATGCCCCACCACAACCACCCTCCCATCCCCCTTCCCCACTCCACAGGTAGTGATGCCTTCCAGGAGGGGTCATCAAAATCTGTCAAGTCATTTGGAGTAGGGACTAAGCCCTCCCTCCTGCCTCTAGGCTAAGGGAGTATCCCTCCATGGGGAATGTGCTCCCAAAGTCTTTCTGTGCATCAGGGATACATCCTGGTTCTGTTGTCAGAGGTCCCTTAGACTGGCCAGGCCATCTAAGGCCCATGTCCAGGGGGTCTGAGTCTGTCCAATGCTGGATTCCCAGCTATCAGTCTGGGGTCCCATTAGCTCCTCCTTGTTCAGATCAGCTCTCTCTCTGTGTTTTTGCAGCCTGGTTTTTTTCCTCCCTCTCTGCATCTGGATTCCAGTTCGGCTCAGTGTTTAACTGTGGGTGTCTGCCTCTGCTTCCATCAGCTATTAGATGAGGGTTTCATGACGGTGGATGAGTTAGTCATCAATCTCACTATCAGGGAAGAGTATTTATGGTAGCCTTTCCACTGTTGCTCAAATTGTTAGTTGGGGTCAGTCTTGTAGGTCTCCGGACATTTCTCTAGAGTCAGTTTCTCTTGAAACCTATAATGGCTTCCTCTTTTATGGTATCTCTTTCTCTCTCTTTTTTTCTCTCGTTATTGTTTGTTTTTTGAGACAGGGTATCAGTATATAACTCTGGTTGGACTGGAACTCCCTATGTGGGCCAGGCATCCTCCAACTCAGAGAGATCTGTCTGCCTGAGTGCTGGGATTAAAGTTGTGTACCACCATACCCAGCAACATATGTCTAAAATGTTAAGTAAGTTATTTTTTCCAGGTTTGTATTAAAAAATTAAAGGATTGATTATATTATCAAGGCCTTACATTTTTGTTTTATAACTTATGAATACTAGCTACTGACCTTGAATTTGTCAGTTTCCCTGCCTTAGCTGCTAAGTACTAGAGATCATAAGTTTGAACTTCTTCTATTTTTATTTTGAGGGGTTTTTTATTAGTGGTTTTTTTTTTTTTTTTTTTTTTTTTTTTTTTTTTCTTTTAAGTGTATGGGTATTTTGTCTGCATCCCTTGTACTTATGGAGGGTGAAAGAAGGGGTTGGATTCCTTATAACTGGAGTTACAGATAGTTGTTAGCTATAGTATGTGTGCTGGGAACTGAACCCAGATCTTCTGAAAGAGCATCCAGTGCTCTTAAGTGCTGAGCCATCTCTCCAGCCCCTCTTGGAAACTTGAGATCCTTCTGTCTCAGCCTTAGTAGGGGTGGGATAACAGGTGTGTGCCCCCACACCTTGTGACTAAGGGCTTTATAACATGAAAAAAATAATAAAATCTATGAGAATTGCATTCTTTAATTTCAGGATTAAATTGAATCTAAATGAATATATTGGCAATAACATGATGAGAAACATTGACATTATAACCTAGGAAGAGATTATAGACTTAAGGGCTCAACATAACTTGACTCTGGCTAAATACTAGCTACTTAAAAACCTCTTCAACTTGCGCACGTTGCAAGTTGCAACCTACAACTTTTAATCCTAGCACTGGAAAGGCAGAGGCAGGTGGATCTCTGTGAGTTCAAGGCCAGCCTGGTCTATAGAGGAACAGCCAAGGCTATACAGAGAAACCCTGTCTTGAAAACAACAATAAATATTTTTATTTTTAAATCCAACATTGCTTTTACTTGAGAAAACTGGCAAACCATCGTTACTTAGGCTTGGATATTTTCAAAGATGAAGGAAGTAAGCTAGTCACTTCAAAGATAACAATTGATATTACTTGTTGCCAGTGACAGTATCTGAGTTTACTATTGAAAAATTTGGATTTGGGAAAGTTTCAATTTAACTGTGACATAGCTCCATCTGGCCTGGAACTTTCTATGTAAATCAAGCTGGCTTAAACTCCACCTGCCTTTGTTGGGATTAAAGAAATATATTACCATACCTGGCTGTTTCTGATGCTTTTAAAGACTTCTGATGAGTGATGATATTAACAAATATTTTATGACCTATAAAGAAGTATCATTTCATATTCCTTGACTGGCATATCATTTACTCAAAGCAGCAGGAATCTGACAATATTGTGGTATGTTAGATTCATTCACATATACGGTTTTAGATTTTATGTTGTGAATTAATCATTGCTGGATTTTGTCTTAGAATATGCATAGTTGTGTGAGAATGTTAAACACTTCTCCCAGCCCTTGGGAAGTAAAGGTAGGAATTACAAGTTCAAGGCTAATCTGGACCCTATTGTAAGTTTAAGGCCAAACTTGTTTACATAGTGAGAACTTGTCTCAAAAGACAAAAACTAAAATAAAAAAACCCAAAACCCTCCCCAAACCATTAATCTCTTTTGTGTATGTTTGTACAAAGCTGATATTGTATAGTTTAATTGATGTATGCCAACAGTATGGAGACAGATTATAGGCCTCCAGATATTTTCTAATGAAGTAAATGTGGAAAGAATTGCCAAAATATATAGCATTGCTTATTCTCTTATTCATTTAGTTTTATTTTTAAAAACATGGTTTATTTTTATCAAGATACATTTATGTTCTCAGGCAAATGGGCAGAACTAGAAAAAGCTATCCTAAGTGGGATAGCCCCAAACCAAAAAGACAAAAATAGTTATGTACTCACTCATAAGTGGATACCAGACATAAAGCAAAAGATACCCAGCTTACAATCCCTAACTCCAAATAAGCTTGAACCCTCTTCCAGAACAGATGGAAACAGATGCAGAAACCCACAACTAACCAATGGACTAAGTTCCTGCAATACAATCAAAGTGAGGGAGAAGCAACAATATGAACAAAGGAGTCAAGACCTGATGGAGAAACCCACAGAATCAGTTGACCTGAGCCAATGAGAGATTACTGACAAATAGGGAATCTGCATAAAACTGAACTAGACTCCCTATATGAGGCCACTGGCAGTGGGTCCAAGACCTAACACTATTGTGCAAACTGACTTAATGGAGCCCATTTTATATGGAGAAATACCATGCCCAGTCTAGATGCAGGGGTGTGGGGCTGGAGAGGTGCCTTGATCCTGCATCAAAAAGATGATGGGACAGACTTAGTAGACTTCCTAGGGGAGGCCTTACCCTCTCTGTGGAGCAGATGGGAGGAGGGGGAAGTGGAGGGACTGGAAGGAAAGAAGGGAGGGGGAACTGAGATTGTAATGTTAAAATAAATTAATTAAAAAAGCAAAAAAAGTTATATTTATGTTACTATGTAATGGTTTAAAATGGAAATGTTAAAAATCTTATTTTTATTTTAATATGTTACATATAATTTTTCCTTTGTTTTGTGTATGGGTATTTTACCAGCATGTATGTCTGCACTACATGTGTGCATTGCCCACAGAGGCCAGAAGAGTGTCAGATCCCCTGGGACTGGAGTTACAAATGATTGTGAGCAATCATGTGAGTGCTAAAATCAGATCAGGTTCTCTAGAAAAGCAGCCAGAGTTTTTAACCTCTGAGGCACCTCTCCAATGTTCACCTATTTGTTTTTACCTTAACATGAACTAAATTTTTGGAGACCTATAAGAGCTTTTAAGATTTGGGGATTAAATCTTGACAGTTTTGCTTATATTTTATTTCTTCTTACAAATTAAATATTTGAAGTCTTTTTAACTGTTTCTTTACATATATCATTCTCACTTTATCTTAACTCTTTCACAGGAATTTGTAATCAGCATATATTGCTTTTCTTTTACAGTTCTATGATCTTTGTGAACTGTTCAGAACTGGAGGTCAGGTTCCTGACACAAACTACATATTTATGGTATGTAAACACTAGTAATGGCAAGTGCTTATTTAAAATCAAAAGGTTCTGGCTTATAACATGCAGATCCTATAATAATTTAAGTGTATGAAAACATCAGTCTGTACTCTTCTATATTTTGTCATGTCTTCTACTTATATATAATTGCTATGTTTGTAAACTTACTGTTCAAATAGGACTGATTTATAACTGCCAGTAATGGCAGAGAACCACATAGAACCCCTGGTTTAGTCTGTCAGTGAATGAGAACATGCAAGAATAGTTTGGTATTTGATACTTTTTCCTAATACACACTTGCTGTTATGGTGGAATTTTTTTTTTTTTTTTCTGGGAAAACAAACAAGGCGCTTAACCTCTTAGAGCTATATTTCCAGCCCCATATTACTATTTTTTAAAGCTATTTTCTGAATATTGGTATAATCTTGTCCCAAGTCAGAGATTAATTTTAAATGTAAATAGTATTTTATACATATATGAGTGTTGTTTTGTTTTGTTTTTCGTTTTTGTGAGGGGGTCTCACTGTGTTGTTCTGGCTGACCTGAAGCTTGCTAGGTAGCCCAGGCTATCCAGGCTTGCTCCCCATCTTTATTGCTTTGAGAACAGAGTCTCTCATTGAGCCAGAAACTCTGATTTCAGTAGGTTTCACTGAAGCTTCACCTTTCTCAGTCCCATAGTGCTTGGGTGTGTGCAGCCACCTTTTTAATACAGGTATTAGGGAATCAAGCCTCTCATGCTTATAGAGAAACAGATCCTGTTTCTAAATAATTTTAAGATTATTTTTTAAAAAACAATGTATAGCTCTTTATTGTTGTTCTTTTGGGCTAGTACAGCTATTGTATTGTTTGTAACTGTAAACTTTTACTTTACAGGGTGATTTTGTAGACAGAGGTTACTATAGTTTGGAGACCTTCACTTATCTTCTTGCACTAAAGGCTAAATGGCCTGATCGTATTACACTTTTAAGAGGAAATCATGAGAGTAGACAGATAACACAGGTGTATGGATTTTATGGTAAGAACTTCTTTTCTCTGATTCTGAGTGGTATTTTACTTTTGGGGGGTAAACATTGTATGTGTACTTTGTTTTTATTGTTTTGTTTTGTTTTCTACTTCACATTTTCCCCTGTGAACTGAAAATCTTGCCATATATTGAAAGGCTTACTACTACTAAGGCTTTGGTGTACATCTTTCTAAATCTATGTGAAAAAAAATGTAATCTTAACTTTCCCACTTTAGAATGCTTTTTTTAAATGCAGATTATGGGTCTGTGAGATGGCCCAGTGGGTAAAATTACTTGCTGCTAAGCCTGATAGCCAAAGTTTGTTTACCAGGGCCCACTTGGTGGACAGAGAGAACCTACTCCTGAACGTTATACTCTGACCTCCACACATAGGTTTTGCAGTGTAACTCCCAATACACACAGAATGAATAAATATAATAAACTTTTTAAAAGATTTGTGTATGTGTGCATATGGGTATATGCATGCGAGCTCAGGTGTTCTTGGAAGTCCAGAGGCATTGGCTCCTCTGGAGCTAGAGTTACAGACAGTTGCAAGTTGCCTGATAGGGTACTGGAAATTCAACTTCAGTCCACAGCAAGAGATCTTAACTGCTGATCTCTCTCTCTCTCTCTAATCTCAATTTGGGGGGGGGGGAAGTAATATAGATTATTTGCTGAGTGTTAGTAGCACATACCTTTAATCCCAGCACTAGGAGGCAGAGGTAGGTGAGTTCTGGGACTCAGAGTTCAAAGTGAGTTTGAGGTGAGCCTGGTCTACAGAACTAGTTTTAGGACAACCAGGGCTACACAGAGAAACCCTGTTTCAAAAACCCCAAATAATAATAATATAAAAAATTAATGTAGATTGTTGGATCTTGCTTCAAACATCGCAATCAAATTCTGTTGACATAGGACCCTAGGTTGAGTCTGCTGAGGGTAGATGTTATGCACATTCAAGACTGGGGTTTTATCTGTGCATGCCTTCCCCCCTCCTCCCATCTCCCACTCCCATTCTCTCCTCTATTTAGATCAGTACTGGAGATTGAATTCAGAACCTATGCATGGTAGGCAAGCACTCTACTAGTAAGCTATATCCCCAGTCCTTCCTTAATGCTATGTTTTATGCTTAGCCATTTTACTGCCTCAGTCTTTTGGTTGGTTTGTTGTTTTGTTTGTTTTTGACAGGATGTCTCCATAGAAACCCAAAGAGGCCTAGAATTCACTGTCATCCTGGCTGGCCTTAATTACATGATCCTCCTATGGCAGTCTCCTGAGTGCTGGGATTCTAGGCATCTATCACCACCTACAGTTCTGTAGCTATATCATATCACAATGTATGGATGTACCATAATTAATCCGTCTGTTTCTCGTTGGACATTTTATTTTTAGTTGTCTTTTTGTTGTTGCTGCTGTTGTTTTCGAGATAGTCTTGCTATGTGGTTCTGGTCTGACCTTAAATGTGCTTCTGTTTCTCTGTCTCAGCCTCTGGAATGCTGAAACTACAGGCATGTGTCACAGTACCCAACTGAATGTTTAGTTCTTTTGCAAGATAATTAGTATTTTGGGTAGCACACTGTGGTGTTAATTCAGTGAAGCAAGACTAATATAAATTCTGAAAAATGCTTTGTTCAGTGATTTTATTGATGTGTGGCCATCAGAGAGTATTGCACATTATGCCAGGATGATATATAGATCTAGTGTCCCTTGTCCAAAATGCTTAGGTCCAAGTAGTTTAGCTTTTGGGTGGGTAGTTGGCGTATTTGGAAAAACATGAGATTTCTTGAGGGTAAGACAAATCTAAAACCATTATGTTTTATTTATATATATGTATTTTATTATGTAAAATATAATTTTATGTAATATATATTTCTGAAAGTAATGTAAAAGATTCAGTATCTATAATCTGAAACTCCACAACCCCAAATCATCTGTAAAGTCTGAAATTTTGAACACCACCAAGACACTCAGAAGTTTCAGATTTGTGATAGTTTCGTTTTTAATGTGCTATATACATGCCCAGGGCATATAAAGTAAGCATTTTGCCACTAAGCTACACTCTTGCTACACTCTTAACTCTGAAATCTGAAACACTATCAAACACAAACATTTCTTTTTTCTTTTTCTTTTTGTGTGTGTGTGTGTGTGTGTGTGTGTTTGTTTCTAGAATTTTGAGACAGGATTTTGCTATATACATCTGGATGTGCTAGAGTTTGCTGTGTAGCCCAGGCTGACCTTGGATTCATCTGGCAATCTTCCTGCAAGCTTTACCTTCTAAATGCTGGAGTCAGGGACCTGAGCATTCAAATGGGATATTGGAGACATTTGTTTCATTATTTGAGACAGGATCTCATTCTGTAGCTTGGGTTGGCCTGGAATTCACTATGTGTCTCAAGTTAGCCTCAGAATTCAGTAATTCTCCTGAATCAGTCTCCCAATTGCTAGCTGAACATTTATTTATTCACTTAACTATTTATAGATAGGGTTTCATTATGCAGCTTCCTGCTTTAGCCTCCCAAGTTATAGATGTGTATTCCCATGTCTAGTTCAATTCATTTGTTTGTTTGTTTGTTTTGTTTTGTTTGAGTCAGGGTTTCTCTACCTACCCGGACTGTCCTGAAACTCTATGTAGACCACATTGACCTTGAACTCACTTGCCTCATGGCATGTGCCACCATGTCCAGCTTATTTTTTTTTAAAAGGAATATGGAAATAAACTTTTAAAATGTGTGTGCGCCATGGCCATGTGTGAAGGTCAAACAACAATTGGTTCTTGTCTTTAATCATGTGGATTCTGGGAATTGAATTCAAATCATTGGGCTTGGTGACAAGCCTAATATTGTTATCTTCAAACTTCCCTGTGTCAGCCACCTTGAAATCCATCTGCCTGTTGCTCCCAAGTATAGAAATTGGAGGCATGTGCCACCACCACTGGCTTTTACTTATTTTAAAGACTTATTCATTTTTATTTTATCAGTATGAGTGTCTGAGCACAATGTGGGTACTGGGAACTGAAACCAGGTCCTTTGTAAGAGCATTAAATGTTTTTAGTTAGAGTTTCTATTGCTATGAAGAGACTATGACCACAGCAGCTCTTATAGAGGAAAATCATTTAATTGAGGTGACTTACATTTCCAGAGGGTTAGTCCATTATCATCATGGTGTAACCTGGTGGCGTGCAGCAGACATAGTGCTTGAGAAAGAACTGCGATTCCTATATCTTCACCCACAAACAACAGGAAGTGAATTGAGACACAGTGTGTGGCTTTGGTATAGGAGGCCCCAAACCTCAACTCCACAGTGATGAACTTTCTCCAACAAGGCCACTCCAACATACCTCTAACATACCCACTCCAACAAAGCCATGCCTCCTAATAGTGCCATTCCCTATGAGCTTATGGGGACAGTTACCTTCAAGCTACCATACCTCTTAACCACTGAGCCATTACTTCAACCTCCCAGTTATTTTTCAGCCTCCCGTATTTATTTTTAGTGTGTTTCCATTCTGACTGAAGTCATTGTAGACTTTGCCAAGTATGCTATCATCTTGATGCTTAGAAAATTTAACTTTTTGCAGCATTTTAAATTTTAGACTTTTAGATTATGGATACTCAAAAATGTGTGTCTAAGAGATAAGTTATACCACATTCTTCAATGCACAACAAAGGAGCATAAAGGGGGGGAAAGGGACCTTTTACTCAATGTGCTTTGGCTGAAGAAAATGATAATGGTACCGAATTAGGTATTGCATTTTCTCTTTCTCAAAAGTGTGTTCACTTAGTAATTTTTATAGTGTTATTTAACAAAAAGATTAGTAGCTACTCAGGAAAAGATAATTTTATTTACCATGAATTTACAGTGATTTAAAAGCCTTAGATAGCCTTTAATCATATTGGTTGCTTAATTCACACTGATAAACATACATTGAGGACTTGAATTTTTTAATTACATGTGTTTGTGCATATGTGCATGTGCTTATGTTCTCACACTAATGTCTGAGAATGTATGGACCCGGGCTGTGGTGACTCATGCCTTTAATCTCAGCCCTCAGGAGGCAGAAGAAGGTGGATCTCTGAGAGTATATGTGCATGTCTGGAGGTCAGAGGAGTTCTTTCTCTGTACCATGTGGGTCCTGGGGATCAAAATCACATTATCAGGCTTAGAGTCAATGCCTTTAACTGGTGAGCCATCTCCCTGGCCCTATTTAATATTCCAAGTTTAATTAGTTTTGCCTGTTAGAATTTGACTGTTGCAATTCTCAGAAGATGTTACAAAGAAAAACTTTGTCCTGAGAAATGTTGGGATAGGAATTACTCATGCACTTATAATTAAGGGTCCTTCTATAATAAGGTAGTCATATAAAGAAATGCACTATTTTATAGAATTACTTTGCATTAACATAACTGACCAAAGCATTTGGTTTGGCATGTATGAAATCAATAATTTCCATCCACATGATAACCTTTTGGCTGATATTTCCAACTTCATTTTAGGATCATTTCTGGATTTAAAAAGGATTATAATTTCTTAAGGGGACGTGCTTTTTAAAGGTTTGCTTTTATTTTATGTATATAAGTGTTTTGCTTGAATGTTGTATATGCACTACACTACATTTGGACCTGGTGCCCACAGAGGCTAGAAGAGAATGTAACACCAATGACTGAAGTTACAGATAGTTTTGAGCCATCTCTCCAACCCCATCTTATTTGTATGTATGTATATATGTACTGTGGATTGAACTTAGGCTTTACACATGCTGCAAGGTAAGCACATACATGTAGACAGATTTTTCTTTGGGCTACCAGCTCACAAAAGCTTGGCCTGAGCTTTGGCTTATTTCTGACTAATTCTTGCAACTTAAATTAACCCATATTTTTAATCCAAAATCTTTTACATGGCTCGGTTACCTTTTCTCTGTACTGCCCAACCTGCTTCCTCTCCATCTGGCTGGTGACTCCACCTTTCTTCCCAGCACTGTCTCTGTTCAGAAATCCCTGCTATAAACCAAACATAATGATACATCTTCATACAGTGAAAAGGAATATTGCACAACAACTGCCACTGAGCTGTAGCCCAGTCTTCCTTAGAATATGTGTATTTTTAGTAGATTTCTTTTGGTTATATATGAAAAATAGGGATGAATATGTACCATAATTTTCTGGTCTAGATTAAGGTGAATTTCTTTTGTAACAAAGATCACTTTAGCATTTAATATATTCAGTAATGAGAACATTTCTGTTTTCTTCACAGATGAGTGCCAAACCAAATATGGAAATGCTAATGCCTGGAGATATTGTACCAAAGTTTTTGACATGCTCACAGTAGCAGCTGTAAGTATGAATCTCCTTAGAACTTCAAGTATTTTTCTTGCCAATAATATTACGTATATTTATCGGTTGAAGCCATTTCTTTAGTTTCAGTATTTATTGTTGAATTTAGACATGACTGAGTTTATTATCATCCTTTGTTATTCTTTTTTGCTAGTTAATAGATGAGCAAATTTTGTGTGTTCATGGCGGCTTATCTCCTGATATAAAAACACTGGATCAAATTCGAACCATTGAACGAAATCAGGAAATTCCTCACAAAGGAGCATTTTGTGACCTGGTTTGGTCAGATCCTGAAGATGTTGACACTTGGGCAATCAGTCCCAGAGGAGCAGGTTGGCTTTTTGGAGCAAAAGTCACAAATGAGGTAAAATTTTGGAAAAATAGTTCTTCAATTGGTAAAATAACACTGATTTCAGATATCAAGCTCATAGCCTAATTTCCTAAAATTATTGTTGCTATGTGTGTCAGATTTCTACTGTAGTTGATGTTTCCTGAATGGTTCAGTGAGATAATATAGTGAAAGCAACTATTCCACTATTACCTGCTGATATTACTAAAATAATAGTTAAGTAATAAGATGGCCAGAGAAGATAAGCAACTTTTTTGTTTGTTCATTTTAATGGCAGATCAAATATCCTGAAACATACATATATTCTAACATTCTTCTTCTTTTTTTTTTTTTTTTAATTTAAATTAGAAACAATCTTTTTTTTTTTACATCAATCCCAGTTCCCTCCCCTCCTCCCCTGCCCCGCACTGACCCACTTATCTCATCCCCTTTCTGCTCTCCAGGGAATGTGAAACCTTCTTTGGGGAATCTTCAAAGTCTGTCATAGCATTTGGAGCAGGGCCTAGACCCTCACCTGTGTGTCTAGGCTGAGAGAGTATCCCTCTTATGTGGAATAGGCTCCCAAAGTCCATTTGTATACTATGGATAAATACTTGATTAACTACCAGAGGCCCAGTCCTCGTACCTGACACCCACGTTCAGGGGATCTGGGTAGGTCCTGTGCTGGTTTCCCAGCTATCAGTCTGGGGTCCATGAGCTCCGCCATTATTCAGGTCAGCTATTTCTGTGGATTTCTCCAGCATGTTCTTGACTCCTTTGCTCATCACTCCTCTCTCTCTGCAACTGGACTCCAGGAGTTAAGCTCAATGTTTAGCTCAATTTTTAGTTGTGGGTGCCTGCTTCTGTTTCCATCAGCTACTGGATGAAGGCTCTAGGATGGCAAATAAGGTAGTCATTAATCTTATTATAGGGGAAGGGCATTTAAGGTAGCCTGTCCACTATTGCTTAGATTCTTAGGTGGGGTCATCCTTGTAGATCTCTGGATATTTCCCTAGTGCCATATTTCTCTTAAAACCTATAATAGTTCCCTCTATTATGGTATCTCTTTTCTTGCTGTTCTGTATTTTTCCCCCGACTCAATCTTCCTGCTCTCTCATAGTCTCCTCTCCCCTCCTCCCCTTCTCTTTTTCCTGATTCCCTCTCTCCTCCCCCATGCTCCCAATATGCTCAGGAGATCTCCCTTTTCCCTTCTGTGGGGGACCATGTATGTCTCTCTCAAGGTCCTCCTTGTTTCCTAGCTTCTCTGTCAGTGTGGATTGTAGGCTGGTGATACCTTTGCTCTATATCTAAAATCCATATATGAGTAAGTACATATTGAGTTTGTCTTTTTGTAAACTGGGTTACCTCACTCAGGATAGTTTCTTCAAGTTCCATCCATTTGCCTGCAAATTTCAAGATTCCATTGTTTTTTTCCGATGAGTAATACTCCATTTTGTAAATGTACCACATTTTCTGTATCCATTTTTCAGTTGAGGGGCATCTAGGTTGCTTCCAGGTTCTGGCTATTACAAGTAATGCTGCTATGATTAGCAGATGTCCTTTTTTGTATGTATGTGCATCTTTTGGGTATATGTCTAAGAGTGGAATTGCTTTGTCTTGAGGTGGACTGGTTCCCATTTACCTGAGGAACCACCATACTGATTTACAAAGTAGCTGTAGAAGTTTGCACTCCTACCAGCAGTGGAAAAGTGTTCTCCTTTCTCCACATCCTCTCCAGCATAAACTGACAGTATTCTAATCCCAGTTTATTTCCTTTTTTTTTTTTTTTTTTTTTTTTTTAAGATTAGTTTTTGTTTAAGTCAAAGTTTTAACCATTTTCTTTTATTTTGGTTTTTTTGTTTTGTTTGTTTTTTCGAGACAGGGTTTCTCTATAACAGCCCTGGCTGTACTGGAACTCACTCTGCTTGTCTGTGCCTCCCTAGTGCTGGGATTAAAGGTGTGCACTACTCTGTATGACTTAACCTTATTTTATTTTATTTATTCTATGTCTGTGCACCATGTGCATAAAGTGCCCATGGAGGCCAAAAGAAGGTGTTAGACCTCCTGGGACTAGAGTTACAGATGGTTGTGAACTCTTGCATAGTGGTTGGGAATCAAACTTCTATCCTTTGGAAAAGCAGCCACTAAACCATCTCTCCAGCCTGAATTTAAATTTTAAAGTAACACATGCACTAAGAGAATTCAATATTGTTCCAAGGCACCTCCTAAATCTCCATGAGTAGATGAAAACAAGAACCATTATTAGATAGTAATAACATAAAAATAACTCCTTGCTTACAATTTACAAGACATGTTATGATTATAATCTTTGATCCATAATAATCTATTGTGCTGGTTGTATGAATACAGCAGTTTTTAAAATTCAGAAACTGTTTGCTATAAATTTTCAGGGCAAATAATTTACAAATAAGATACAGAAATTCTGACATCTTTTTTTGTTGTTGTTTTGTTTCGAGACAGGGTTTCTCTGTATAGCTTTGGCTATCCTAGAACTCACTCTGTAGACCAGGCTGACCACCTCAAACCCAGAACTCTGCTTGCCTCTGCCTCCCAAGTGCTAGGATTAAAGATGTACACCACCACCACCACCTGGCATCTTCTGCTGCTCTTTTATGATTGCGGCTTTATCAAACTATGTACCTACTTGCCCTATACATATACAAAACAATGCATACATCAAAGCAGCCATGAACAAATTTGGGCAGATAGCATTCACACACACACAGTAATGATGTTCTGTTAAGATGTGTTCCAACATAAAGGAGTCATAGAACTAGGGGTTAGAGCCATTGGTTTAGCCTCACTTATGGAAAGACTTTACCAAGTCTAAATCCTTTCCTTTTTAAGTTGCAAAGAATAATATCTCTTTGTGGCATACATTAAATCCTCACATAATAGGACTGATAGTAATGTTAGTATTATGTCATTAAATAGAAAACCTTTGTTTTGTATCTGGTGGTAATTATGTAATCTTTTTTTCCTTGATACGGTTTTTATTAGGTAGCCCAGGCTGGCCTCAAACTTGAATATATATATATATATTTATGTTGGAAGGATATGAAAAGATCATAGGACAACTTATGGAAGCCAATTCTCTCCTACCATGTGGGTTCTGGAATTGAATTCTGGTTATCAGGGCTGTTGAAAAGTACCGCTGCCAACCTAGCCATCTATTATACTATTGCTGTTTTAAAGATAATGCTGTCGCTGTATTGCAGAGACTGATTTCAAACTTGTAGATTTAAGTTTTTATTCTACCCAGCCTTCCAAGTAACTGAGAGTACAGGAGCTGGCTTAGAAACTTCAAATTATGGGTCATGTACTTTAGAATAGACTTGGCCAAACTGATGTTGGAAATTTTGGGGGTGATTATAGAGTGGTATTTAGAATCATAACTTCAGTAGTGACATTTGCTGCTTGGAATAGTTATTAAACTGTTGGATGGAATACTCACAATGCCTTTCTAAATTGCAGTTTGTTCATATCAACAACTTAAAACTCATCTGCAGAGCACATCAACTTGTGCACGAAGGCTATAAGTTTATGTTTGATGAGAAGCTGGTCACAGTGTGGTCTGCTCCTAACTACTGCTATCGATGTGGAAACATTGCTTCCATCATGGTCTTCAAAGATGTCAATACAAGAGAACCAAAGTTATTCCGGGCAGTTCCAGATTCAGAGCGTGTTATTCCTCCCAGAACCACGACACCATATTTCCTTTGAGGCCATTGCCATCCCACTGGCCTACTTTTTGCCCTCTTTTACTCTTTTACCCAACCTTTCTTGTACCCTCTACAATATACCTTCTTGATTTTTTTTTTTTTTTTTTTTTTTTTTTTTTTAGCACTTTGCTGGTGAAATGCTGCCTCTTGCCTTTTTTTTTTTTTTTTTTTATTTTAAATTATCTAAATTTATTGTTTGTTATGGTGTCCATAGCAATGTTTTTCTATCAATTTCGTTACTCATCCCATCCCCACCTTGGACTTGTTTGAGAAGACTTGAGAAATGTCTTAATACTCACATTGCTGCATGTAGCTCTTGCTTATTTGCTGTTCTGGGGAAACAGGAAGCATTTCCTCTTTTAAAAAGCCAATTGACAATTACATGGAAATCCTCCTCATTTGTATCAGCCAGCCTTCTGTTTTTGGTTGGTAGGACTGAAGAAATTTCAGCAGCAAAGTTGTCCAGTGGGCAGGATGGACTGCGATGCCTGAGTCATGTACCCTTGTTCCAGCTGTAAACTTCACTGTCCTTATTGGGTGATTTGATGTTTTAAAAGGGTATTAAATAAATTGATCTAAAGGGCTGCCCTCCTTGTTGTGTTTTTAAATTTTAGTTAAAAACTGCTATAGCGTATGACTTTGTACATTAAGAGAATTGTACTGATCTTTTTCAGATTTCTTGTACTTTTTAATAAAGTAATCTTAAAACCCAGATAGGTTAAGTGTTAGAAATTTTAAACAACTTACATTGTTACCTGAAAGCTACTTTTTCTTTCTTTTTCCTTCCTTTTTTTCCTTGTTTTCCTAAGAGTTTTTGAACCTTTAGTAAGTCTAAATTTCAATTGAAATTCAATATTTTTTTTAAAATCTCACTAAATTGTGCCTAAAAAACATAACTGCCACATTAATGTTTTAATTTCTGTTCTCTATAGTAATAGAAAAACATTTAATACTTGTAACATTGGTGTGTTGATTTGATAACCAGTTAAGTAGAATGTGCTCTATCCAGTTTACGCTCTGTCATAAGTATCACCAAGTAAATGTATATTTTTCAACAGCAACCATTCTCTCTCTGTAACTCTTAACCTTAACTTTTACAAAGTATTTAGTTTTTAACTGCAACTTTAAAGGCTGAAAAATCAGAACTCTTGTGTTTGTGAACTGTAATCATAAGCAGATTATTTAAAGTATGGAAAGAAATAGACTGTTCTCTTGTGATGGTCAGTTCTTGATATGTAATTGTCCACTTAATAAGGGCAAGTATATCATTATCTCTTATGACTGTTGTCATTGATGATTTTGGGATGTACCATCTTGTGAAATTGTTGGTATCCCTTTACAGTGATAGTATTTTTTTGTTATCCCAGGAAATCTATGTGAAGCAATTGATAAAGCACTTTAGCATCTGTTCAGGTAGTTTTAAAACAACTTTTCCCCTTCAGGATAAGAACTCCCAGGTTACCTAAAAATGCAATAAAAATCTTAATAGTCTAAGATTCTTGGAAAACAATCTTTCATCAGGGTTTCTTTTACTGAATGAGCACAATATTGTTTTGATTTTATTTATCCCCAATCACCCAGCTCCTTTACAGTTTTTATATGTATAGGTTTATGAAAGAAATGACTGAGATATTTGCTGCACACACTTGAACTAATGGCGGGTCAGTGGCTTTGTGTTAATATGCTAACCCCAGTGTAATTCAGGTGGAAAGGTATTTTTATCTCACAAGAATATGTAGCTATGTATTTTTTGAATTGTGAAACACTGGAATTAATGGTGCAGACACCTTGGTGTAGATTTTTTAACAGCTCTCTGCAGTAGTTTCTTGTTTGTGTTACCATAAATTGTATTTAAGTGCTTGCTCTCCACTGCTTTTAACTCTCAGTGTCCTCTTTGTACTTCACACTTCTTACCTTAGGTTGATGTTATTGTTTTCATTCTCCTTTAATATGACTTATTTTCAAGTCATGGTGTACTGCTTTTGTTTGTCACTCACTAGCTGGGCATGTGCCAATAATATTCTGTCCATCCCTTTACTGCCATCTCTATTTTGCCTGACTTTTCAACTGAATAATGGCTTTGAAGCATGGAAAAAGTAGTTTTTACTATTAGACTTATGAAGGAAAGAGAGTGAATGTATTGGACCTTCCTTGCAAGACTGAAAAAGAATATTTGGATCCCTCTACCTAACAAGGGCTATGTATTATATAGAGTAATCATATGGTGAGAGATACTTGCAAGCCAGAGATCTGTAAACAAGGGAATCTGCTACTTCCTGTATCTAGGCTGAATGTAAAATACCCTATGTTGTATCAATGGGTTAAGAACTATTTTTATTTGCCTGTGATGTACTTGGTTTCTAATAAAGTGTCCTAGGCTCCAGTGAGAACTGTTTACTTTGAATTGCCATTTCCTTCCTTCCTTTATTTGGCTGATAGGTATTTCCCCTCACTCCCCCACCCCGGTTTTGGATTTTCGAGACAGGGTTTCTCTGTGTAACTTTGGAGCCTGTCCTGGAACTGGATATATAGACCAAAGCTGGCCTCGAATTCACAGAGATCCAGCTGCCTCTGCCTCCCAAGTGCTGGGATTAAAGGCATGTGCCACCACCACTCAACAGCTAATAGACTTTTGGCTAGCTTTCCATAGATCAATGCTAATGAAGAATCTAATCTCACTTCTTTAAATGTTTTCTCTTGGATGCGATCCTTAAAAAGCCTTGATCAAGACTACATCTAATATGCAATGTGTATCATTTCCTGTTTCATCTGGATGTCTAGAACTGTTGGAAGATTTTACATCTTAAATACTGAGTTTTGCTTTTGAAATAAGATTCAAACTGTTTATTGCATTTAAGATAATGTGTGTGTTTGCTCTATAAACCCAGCTCCAAGTGTTGGGGAAATGCCTGTACTGTAAAACCATGCCATTGTCAGAAGTAGAATCACTTTTTGTCAGTCTCTAGAAAATTGTGTACAGAGTTGTGATTTAACTGCAAGAATCCAGATATTTAAATGTCATTGTTTTTTAATTGCTAATGTTTGTGAAGCACCTCCAGTTCTTTGAATGAAAAGTGCTACATTCCCTCAACGTCAATTAATAAAAAGATTGTAGGAAGTTTGTGAAAAATAACTTTATCTACTGCAGTCTATAGTATTCCCTGAAAAGAAAGTAGCATTTCATATAATTTGTTTTCAAAGAAATGCTTACGTTTTCATTGGTTGTGTGGTAAATGGAACTAACCATTTTTCCCCCTGCATTTGCCTTTGGGCTAAGTGTTCCAGCTCCTTAAAAGCATTGTTTATTCAACCTAGATTCTGTGCCCAGAACCAGGCTTCATGAGGTCATCACAACTCTGTCAGTTGTGTGTTTATAGTGTGGTAATGATGAAAGATGTGGTAATCAAAACCAAAGAAACATTTCAGGAGCCCCCTTAAAATGATGCAAGTTTCCTTCATCATCTTTCTTATAAAAATAAGTTTATGCTTAGATTAATAACATGGTTCTTAATTCAACAATGTATGAAGTTTATACAAAAACATTTATTGCATAGTATATGCCATTCTGTAAGTACCTGATAATGGTTCTCAACATTTTATATATAAATGGGAGTGGAATTTTTTTAAATGAGTAATTAAGCATTTTAGGTAAATGCTAACCATGCCCTATTTTGCAGTGCTGAGGAATGAACCCAGGACTTTGTGCATGCTAGGTAAGCCATCTACCACTGAGCTACATTCATATCCAGCACACGTCCTGTTTTGTGATCCTTTTTGTTGGGGGTGGGGATAGTTGGGGGAACTGGTTGTTTTGAGACAGATTCTCACCATTGTAGACCACACTGGCCTTCCAGAGATCCACCTGGCATTGTTTCCCAAGTGCCAAGATTAAAGACATACATCACTATGCCTAGCCTATATCTTATGGTACTCTTGATATGGATCTCTAAGTTGCTCCTACCCCTACCCCTACCCCATCCCACCACCCCCACCCACCCCAGATGAGGAAATGGGATTGGAAAGGAGAGGTAACCTGACAAGGTCACACAGGACAACTGGAAGTTGAACCCCCTGGAGGGTACACAGTGACTCCTGAAGCCTATTTTAAGCACTATTGGGTTTTGCAGCTTTGTGACTCTGAACAAATTGAATTCTCTGATCTTTCTGTTCTAAAAAAAAAAAAAAAGAAGAAGAAGAAGAATATAATGAGGTTGGTTAAAATATTAATAATAGCACCCACAAAATGTCCAGTACTTGACTTAAAACTATTTCCCGAGTACTCAACCAAAAGCATTATGATTAGAAAGAGGAATTCAAGGTAAAACATGGTTACTAACAGTGTAGCTTTTTTAAAAATAAAAATTTATTTGTTCTGTTAATATGATTGGTTTTGCCTACATTTATATATGTGCAGAGTTCAGAAGATGGCATCAGAACACCCTGGAACCAGAGTTACTTATGATTGTAAGCCACCATGTTAGTGCTCAGAACTGAACCCAGGTCCTCTGCAAACAAGTGCTCTTTAACCATTGAGCCTTCAGTTCAGCCCAACAATGTAACCTTCTTAGTGCAAGAAATTTGGAGGAAGCATTTGATCCAAGAGGAGACATGAAATAATGGGCTGGGTAATGGAATGTGCATGTTTTATACAAGAGCACAGAAGCTGAAATGATAGAACTTGGACACACCAAGAGTACATTTTAGAAAGACCCAACAATTAGCTGCAGTTCTGTTGATGATTGTTTATGCTTCCAATCATGGAAAATGTTGGATAGGAAGAGGAAGATTTTAGTCAGTAAGAACATCATGAGTGATATTTCAAGATTACAACAGGAGCCCTCCAATCAAAAATCCTTCATTCTTACTGGAAGAATAAACAGAAATAAAATTGAAATAATTGGTTGCTCTGTAACTCTAAGATTAAATCATTTAGGAAAAATAACAGACATTTCATAATATTTTCTCTAATCAAAGTCATTTCTTAAAATCCCATACAGGACCGAAGAGATGACTTAGTAGTTAAGAGGACAAACTGCTCTTCCAGAGAAGCCTAGGGTTCAATTCTCAGCACCCACATGGCAAATCACAATCTGCAGCTCCCATCTCGGGAGCCTACATTGGTACTAGACATGCATGTTGTACACAAATACACCAGTACATATAAACCAACTCAAAGTTCCTATAACACCTAGAAATGCTGTTGTGGAGAAGCACATATTGGGGGTCCTAGGCTACATCCTCAGTGGTGGATTAGCAAAGTAGCTCAGTGACTTGAGTTTGATCCCTAGGACCCACATGATGAAAGGAGAGAACTACTGATTTCCACAATTGACTTCTGCTTCCCTACATGTCTCCACATGACTCACTTTCTTCTTCCCTTTTCTCCACCTCCCTCTTTTAAATGTATTAAGAGCTCTTAAGCAATGCAAAAAATAAAATTCCACTACAACTTACTGCATCCCTTTGTTTCTTACAAATAAAAGCATTTTAGCATCAAGGATGGATAACAAGATGAACCATTTAGGAATAAAGAACCCATTTCACCAAATGCATTTGGTTCTGTGAAAAACTAGGATCTCACTATATGGACATTTGTGGGATATTTGTCCTCATGAATTTTCATTTGCTGACATGTGCTGTGTGGACAAGTGTGTTTGTCATGTGCATGTGGAGGTCAGAGCTTGGAGAGTCTGTTCTGTGGGTTCCAGGATTGAACTCAATGGCAGGCTTTAACAGCAAGCACCTTTTACTCTGCCACTGCTTTTGTTGTGTTCTAATAAAATGAAAGTGGCTCAAAAGAAAGTTTTATGCCTCCTCCCAAATCTAGCAGGAAGAAATGAACTTAGGATCTGCCAGACAACTTTGCATAGGAGTAAAGATGTATAGTTAACACTCATCTTAAGAATTATATTCTTCACTGACATGGTAGCTCACACCTTTAATCCTGGCTCTCAAGCAGCAGAAGGAGCTGTATCTTGAGTTCAAGGCCAGCATGATATACAAAGTGAATTCCAGGACAACCAAGGCTAGATGGAGAAACAGTCTCAAAACCTCTACTCCAAAATATTCTTAAGATGCAGTATATATACATTTACTATATTTTCAAAGATAGCTTTGTTAGAGTATAATAGGCTACTAATACTTATTGTACTTACATGGTGGTAGTTTTACATACATGAATTTTATACTAAAATTGATCACCTGATGTAGATTTTCGAATAATCTGCAGTGACACAAAATGGCTAGTTTACACAAGAAGCAGTTCCTTTTATGCTTTTCAAAATGGAATACAATTCTTATAGTATTGCAATTGGTTCTTTTTTCGTGATAATTAAAGAAATTCTCGTGTTTTCTTACAAGCTCCTACCTGGATCTCTTTGAAGGGTAGCACTAAGCTGAGACCATTTCTGCAAAATGTTGGCAGGCACTGCATTCGAGGTGATTTAGAACGCTGCTTTACCCTCGAACTTCTGGATGTATTTGGAGAAAATGTAGTACTTGATTTGGGTTCTGGGGCGGTGCGGAAGCAGGGGAATAGTAGGTGTCTAAGATGCAGGATGCAGAGCACAACCTGGAGGCTGGTGTCTGGCGCCGAACTACAATTCCCTCTTTCTGGCGCACGGTGGCGCGCAGTGCTGCTCCCGCTCTGCTAGCAGTCTTTAAGGCACCTCTGCCGCCACCTGCAGTCTCAACCAAACCTCGGGGTGGGCAGCGCGGGACGTGAAGACTCGAACGCCCAATCGGCTGTCGGGCTTCCAGGCACGCTGCAGTTTCAGCCAATAGGAGAGAACGAGAGGCTCTGATGGGGGCAGGCCCCGCAGCTTAGCCTGGCAGAGGCGCGAGGCCCTCCTGCGGTCTCTCCGCCTACTCCAGTCTCCGTCGTCTCAGCATCTACTGCGAGCCTTGTGGCCGCCGGAACAGCTCCCTCGGCGGAGCAGGAGCCGGATGGTCAGAGGAGCCCGGCAATCCCAGCAGCCGCGGAGTCGCCTGGCCCCCAGGTGGGGCGGGCTGCGGTGCCAGGCGGAGCTTAGGGCCGGGGGGCCGAGGGAGTGGGCCCAGGAGCCGCCGAGGTGTCGGGACTCCAAGCCCTGAGAGGTGGAGGTGCACGCATACAGTATCTGGGGGCGCTGAGAGCGACCAACTCATCTGGGCGGGGAGCGAGGATGCAAGAGCCAGAACGGAGGGCGCGCGCCCCACCAGGAACAGAGGAATGCGGGGGGCCTAAGCTGAGGGGCGGGGCTGCGGCCGAGGGGAGCTGGGGGCCCTTGGGCTCCCGGCAGACAATGAGGCCGACGGGGCGGGTGGTTTGGGGGAGTGGAGCATTGGGGCGCGTAACCGAGGGGACCAGTGAATCCCGGAATCGCTCTTTCGTGGGAGGGAAACAAAGTCCATCATGAGGGGTTTGTAAGGTCAGGGGTAAGGACGGCCAACCTGTAGTCAGCCTGTGGCCCCGGAGGGTGGTACATAGAGTGTCCCACGGGCTAGGGGAGACAGAGGGTGTGCGCTCTTTTAGTTACAGGTCTCATTTGTTTGATCTGCAGACTGACTGGCACAGTGGAGAAACCACCCCGAAAACGGAAAAGCAGGTAAGGCTAATGCCTCCCTCCTTAGCTTCGTGTTTTTCTGTTTGCTTGGCTGCCCCTGTGCTGCATAATTACATGGTCAGTAGATGAAGTTTCTTATTTATGTCTTTTTTAATGAATGCAACTGCATGGAAGATATTCCTATTGAGAACTGCAAATCTCCCCAGCCCCACTTGCTTCCCCCACCCCCATATGGTGCAGGAAACAGAAAATTAAGAAGCCTAGTTTCCAGCTTTAGTCATAATTTCAACTTCTCTGGCATCTCTCTAACAGAGAGGTTCATTGAACAGCGGTTATGTGCCAAGTGTTGTGTATAAATTCTCTGTGTATTATTTCCTTGAGGCACAGTTTTGCACAACAGGGAACTGAACTATTTTTCTGGCTTTTTAAAAATAAAGTCTAAAACTTAAATGGTTACTAGGAAAATAGTAATTAAGGACTTACATAGGCCACAGGCAATTGAATTATTCCTTGGGCCATGAAAAAGTGTTCATCCCACAAATATGTTTTAGTGTGTTTTCATGTGTTAGATACTACACATAATTTTATTTAGTTATTTGAAGATTTTCTTTTCTACCTATCTTGGTATTGGAATTGAGTATCAGGGATATGGCCAGTGGCACCATTTTCATAATTAATACTTTGGAAGTTGTCTGTTAATATGCAGATCTCCTCAACATTAAGGAGATACAAATGCCAATGGTGGGAGTGGTCAGTAGTCAGATATTTTTGTTACTTTTTAGGCCTAAATATCCACTGCCATAGTCACTTAGAGCTAAGACCATACAGGCTAAGAAACTGTATTTTTTTTTTTTTTTTTTTGTAGGTGGATATGTGTTTGTGCATGCAGGTGTTTGTGTGTATGTTTCTGTAAATGCACATGTATGTGTGTCCATGTGGAGCCCAAAGATCTGCTTATATTGTTGTTCCTCATAAGTCATACATCTTGTTTCTGGAGGCAGGCTCCATCACTGAGATCTGGGGCTCACCATTATGCTAAGCTGCTACTTAGCCAGCAGATCCCTGGATCTATCTGCCTATTTTTACCTCAGTACTATGATTTTTTTTTTCCTCTTAATTTTGGTTGTTTTTTTTTTTTTTTTTTTTTTTTTTTTTTGGATATTCAAGACATGATTGGTTTCTCTGTAGCCCTGACTGTTCTAGAACTCACCCTGTAGACCAGGCTGCCTTTGAATTCAAGAGCTGCTTGCCTCTGCCTCCCAGGTGCAGGGACTAAAGGTACCACCCAGCCAGTACTGTGAATATTTTTTTAATGTAATTTAAATTCTTTTACTTTTGTTTATTTATTCATTTTGTATGAGTGTGGACATTGCATGTGGAAGCTAAGAATAATTTACACTAGTCAGTTCTCCTTGTGCACCATGTGGGTCCCTTGGCAGAAACTCAGGTCATTTACTTGGCTGAAGGCATTTTTATCTGCTAAGCATCTTGCTGGTCCCTTATTTTAAATTTACAAGTTCATCATTCACTGGAAAACGTTAAATATGTCTTAGGTATGTAAATCTATTCTTACATCTGTAAATTTTATGAAGTCTAAGTATTTACTAAACCTACCAATTAAAATTTAGTGTTAAAATGAGACAAGTATAAAACTAGATTTAAATTAGTGCAAAAAATGTGAATGTGAAATTTATCACTGTTGAATTTTAATAATTACATGGTAGAATAATAAAATGTACTGGAGTAAATAAATTTTAAAATTTGCATTTATTTAGTGTGTGTATGCGTGTGTGTGTGTGTGTGTGTGTGTGTGTGTGTGTGTGTGTGTGTGTGTATACAAGTACGGAGGTCAGAGAACAGGTTTACAAGAGTCCATTCGTTCATCTTGTGGGTCCCAGGGATTTAACTCAGTTTGTCAGACATTATGGCAAGTGTCTTTATTCACTGAGTTATCTCCCTGGACTAAATTACATAGTTTTTGCTATTACTAAAATTGTTTTTATAACAGGCAGTACTCTAGTTACTGCTTAGCCTATTGCTTCTTTGTAGCCTATGTGGTAAAATAGGGTTCCTATGATCTGAAGTGTGAATCTACTTATCTCCCCTCATCTCTGTCCTACCAGAAGTAGGGGTAAGTCCACTGCATTTATATGTACACACATACATGCACACACACATACACAAACTTTTATTTTTAACTTTTTCTAATGGTGGTAACTAGAAATAAAAATATTACAAAGCTATGTTACTTACTTTTTATGATGGCCCTAGTTTATTTCTCGTTTCCCCGCTTCCTGACCACTTTCTTGGCTTCTAATCTTTAATTTATTCACTATGCTGTACAAGTTGACCATGTATTTCTTAGGTAGGAGCCTCTTGTGTTTCATCTTTGTGTTCAACATAATTCAGAGTTTCCTGCCTTTCCAGCCACTGTTAGTGTTGTAGCCATAGGAATCGTCTCTGATGGACCTGAAATCTGGTAAGCCAAGATAAGTGAATTGTTTAATGTATCTTCTGTTTGCCATTTCCAGAACTTTTCTTCTCTTTAATTTTTGTATGTGATTATTCTTTCTTTCTGGATACTTTCACTCTGTTCTTTTCTTCAAAACTTAGCACATACATCACATCCTTGATGGGAGATTTCTCCATCCTCTTTTCCTTCCTCTTTAGCTCCCATAATAGCCTATACACATATGTACATGTGATGATTTTGGCTAAATGTGAATCTACCTTCTTTCACATTCATGCAAGTCCATCTGTTGTCTTTCTTGGTATGCATGAGGCCTTGAGCTAAATCCTCAGTACCAATAGGGGTGGAAGGGGGATTCTTTCTGAGCCTGGGGAGAGGGGACTTCAGGGGAAGTAAACTAGAAAATTAGTTCAATAATCCCAGCATTTCAAAATACCTAGTATAAACACTTGGCATAGAAATTTCTGGACACTGTAAGTTCCAAATACAAAAGAACTCGTGAAAACCAGTGCACCATGTACATACATTCTTGGTGCCTGTAGAGCCAGAAAAGGATCTGGTGGTATTTGGACAGCTATGAACTGCCATATGGGTGCTGGGAATTGAACCTAGATCCTTAAGAAGAGATGCCAGAACTCTTAACCACTGAATTATCTCTCTAGCCTACCTGTCCTCATTTTTTATTAATGCTTTCATAATTTTGAATAATGCATTTTGATCATATTCAACCCCTCTTCCAAGACCCCTCCCCCTTTCCCGAACTACCCAATTTTGTGTGTACATGCCTTTCTGTATTTCCCCCAAGCACAGTTTATACTGCTATGTACGCTTAGATGTGTGGCCTTCACTGGAGGATGGTCTAGCCACTAAAAGCTTTACCCTTAAAGAAAACTGACTGTCCCTTGACTGCCAGTAGCTCTTTAGAAAGGAGTAGGATTTTGTCTCTCCACCTTTTCCATGCTGGAATTTTGTCTGGCAGGTCTTGTGTATGATGTCTTAACTCCTATAAATTCATATGTGCAGCTGCCCTTCACCCAAGATTTAATCCATGGCAAAAGAGGAAGCAGAAAGTAAGAGCCTTAAGTAATAGATGACTACAAGGAAACTTTTCTGGATACAACATGGCAGTTCTCACTTTTAAAAAATTAGTGTTTACCTTTATGTGTATGGATGTTTGCCTGCATATATGTGTGTGTACACATGTATGCCTGGCACCAGAGGAGATCAGAAAAGGATTCCCTTAACTGGAGTTACAGATGATTATGAGCCATCAAATGAATGTTTGGAATGGAACCTGAGTCATCTCCAAGAACAATAAGCATTCTTAGCTACTGAGTCATCTCTCCAGTCCTATCTCACTCTCTTTTAAGACATATAGTTCTGAGAATTACAAATCAAAAAATTAAGTCAAAGAAGCTTTTGAGAGAAAAAAAAAGAATAAAATTAAGCCTACTGTATCTCTGGTTTGGCTCTTCATTTTCTGTAGTAAAGTGAAGAAATGAGTAAATGGTATCTTACATTAAACATAAATTGCTCAAACTTTTTTTTTAACTGTAAAAACTAAGAGGATGGATTTCTCTAACTGGTTTATATTCTAGGTATCTATATATAGGTATCTGTTATATCTAGGTAATATAATTATTCTATATTTATATTGGTGGCTATTCATGGGAGGGGGAGAAGTCAATACATGTTTTGTTTAAAAAAAATCATAGCTTTAGGGATTAAGCTTTGGACCTTGTGCGTGCTGGGTCAGCACTGTATGACTTAGCTACACCATGAAGTTTTCTCAGCATGGGTCTTATGTATTTGAGGCTGGTCTCAAACATTATGCAGCTGAGGATGACTGTGAACTTCTGTACTATTCTCTTGCTTCTACCTTCCAAATGCTAGGATTACACACATATAACCAGCCTGGTTTATATATTGTGGTAGCTTAAACCCAAGGTTTCATGCATGATAAGCATGTGTTTCTATTGCTGTGAAGAGACACCATGACCCATGGCAATTCTTATAAAGTAAAACATTTAATTGGGACTGGCTTACAGTTCAGAGGTTTAGTACATTATCATCATAAAGGGAAACATGGCAGCATGCAGGCAGGACATGGTGCTGGAGAAGGAGCTGAGTGTTCTAGATCTTAATCTGCAGGCAGCAAAAGGAGACTGTGCACCACACTGGGCACAGCCTGAGCATATGAGACCTCAAAGCCTGTCTCCACAGTGACACAGTTCTCCAATAAGGACACACCTTCTAATAGTGCCACTCCCTATGGGCTAAGCATTCAGATACATGAGTCTGTGGGGGCCATACCTATTCAAACCACCACAGCATACATTCTACCACCCAAACTGTGTCCCCATACTGAAATTTTAAGGATTGTTCCTTAGAATGCTTCTCAGTCTAAGCAGAACTGAGGCACCTCCTAAGACACCTGCTATTAATTTTAAACTTTCATTTACTCATCTTAGTTCATCTTTCTACCTAGTACTATGTTCAGAATTTATTTTACTTTGTACTGAGATATGGATGGCTCAGTAAACTAATATGCTAACAGGTGAGTGGCTCCTGT